GACGACTTGATGGTCATGGCGCGCGTCTACACGCAACTCACACAGCTGCCGAAGGAGGTGCTGAGGAGCAGTAATAAAGTTGCTATTGAGGAGATCATGCGTGCTGCTGTGGTGCTCCGGGAGAGGCACGCGCAGTGCGTTCAGCAGGCGCGGGAAGACTTTCTGCAGGGCCGCGTGACGAAACTCGGCATGCTGGCGGACAAGCGGATGCGAAACTCAGCGCTGACGTTGGTGTGGAATCTGCTCTTCCGAGAATGGTACAGGGGGTGGAATGGGGACGATGTCATCACGCCGTTCCTCGTCACCGTGCTGCGGGTTTCGGCAGCGATAACATTGCGCTCTTTTTCTTTTGTCCGGCGTTTCCTGCAGTCAGCCACTTCTAGTGCTCAGTGACGGTGCGTGTGCGTCTGGTGACGCAACCAAAGTTTTTTTGTGTGTCTGTGAAATTATGGGTGTATGTCTGCCTGTTGGCGTCTGTCTGTGTGTCTGTGTGAAGCCTGCGTTGTTCAATGGCACAGCCACAGCACGTGTGTATGTTGCTTCCTTTGCGGTTTGTGGTACGGCCCCGGTGGCGGATATCCACACGCCCACAGTGCTGCTGCTGCTGCTGCTGCTGCTGATCCCGGGATTTTCCTCTCTGTGTGTGTGTGTCTTCTTTCTCCCCCGCCCAGTCCTGCACTCTACAGGACACAATAGGGATGCAGGAGGGCGGCACCGTCACCCCCGCCACCCTCCTTGAGGCCAGTGTGCGGAAGATCGAGAGGGAGTGTGCCGCCCTCAACGCGACTGTGGCGTCTGGTTCGCCGGTGTGTGCCTTCTGCGCCCCCATCTACGCCAAGCTCGAGCAGCAGCAGCGGCGGCCCGCGGTGACTCAGCTCGACCCCGCCATGCGGCAGTCGTGCGACGACTGGCTTGCCATGTACAGCGTGAGGGCGCAGCTGCTCGATTCCCTGCTGCGGCTGGCGGAGCGCGAGTACGTCCCGCAGCTGCAGGCTGGGTGGGCTGCTGAAGACGGTGACGCCACACGGCTGCTGCTTCGGCGTTTTGCCGCAGCGAAGCACGATGCACGCGCGGTCCTGCGCGAGGTGCGGCAACGGACGCTTCTCCCGCTGTCGGTCGCGCGCGATGTGTACGGAGCCGTTGCGGCAGGAGTGGCGGGGGGCACGCACCG